ATGTTGGGACTGCTGGAATCATTGCAATTTATGGATAACGTATTTGAGGTTTTGTTTCTTTTATATTTGTAGCAGAGTCAACCCCAGCTCTTTTCTTCCAGATGTTGATGAGTTTCGGATGAGGTTGCAATGCTACTAATTTCACTTTCACATGTACTCTCTGGCTTTTACCTATTTTTTACCTATTTACCTAGTCTGTGTATAGAGACCAGAGTTTGGAAACATTATCACTGGGGGATTTTTAAGTCCCAGAATCCTGAGCCTGTAGAGATTTATAGGGGCTATAATCCTGAAAAGTGATGTTTCTGAGCTCTGCTATAGACTGTCTTTGAATTGCCCTTTCTTTTGGTTTATAGAAGGTTAATCTTCCCATTTGGAGCTGAGCTGGAGGGAAGAAAATCAGTTGTGTGCATTTGGGGAGAAGAAAAGGATAGCTGAGTGACTTTGGTTTCTGGCTGCAGAGACAGAGGGTTGGGAGTTCGATTCCCCACTGTGCCTCCTTGACAGGGGGCTGGACTCAATGACCTGTAGGGTCCTTTCCAGCTCTGCAGTTCTGAGATTATAAAGTTCAGATGTGTCTCCAAACCCCACTGGGCTTTGTTTTAGCAAAATATTCTTTCTTATTTAAATTGTCCCTTGCCACTCCCCCGCCAACCCCGCTGCAGGCATCTTCTTTGCAAGGTTTTTCTTCTTTCTCCTTGAATCTCTTGTGTTTTTCTGGTGAAGTCGTATGCTGTGTCTCCCTTACCTTTGATAGTAATAACTGTGCGCCATTGACTTAACTGTGATCCTTTTCAGGGTTTCCTAGGTAGAACGAGGTTGGAAGGGGTTTACCATTCCGTTCTTCATGGGGTGCCCTGGGATTGTCCAGCTTGCCCAAGGCTACACAGGATGGTACTTCTGGGATGCACAGTGAGGAACTGAACACCCAACCTTTGGCTCCAAAGCTGGATGTCTAACTCACTCAGCTATTCAGCCAGCCCTAATAATATAGCTTTTAATAATATAATTTGGGTGTTTCAAGTCTACTCCAACCGATGATGACTCTTTCCAGGGTTTTCTAGGAACAGAGTACTCAGGGTGATTTAGCATTCCCTTCTTTGGGGAGAATGCTGAGACTGTGGTAGCTTGCCTAAGACAACACATGCTTGCTTTCCCCCCCTACATGGCACTGTGTGAAACTGAACTCCAGACTCTTGGCTCTACAGTCAGGCACTCTTGCTCATTGACCCAAAATTTCACTTTTTTTCAATAGCATGGTTGCTTTTTAAGGTTAGATAGCATTATTCTGTGCTGATGTGCATTCTACATTTTGCCTTTGATTTCCTTGAAGCTGCATTTGGTGAGGGCCTGCTTCTTGTTTGCATATTTCACTACAAGGAAGTACAATATAGAAATTTTATTTATTTATTTATTTATTTTTGGACTTATATACCGCCCCATAGCGCTACAAGCACTCTCCGGGCGGTTTACAATTTTAATTATACAGGCTACACATTGCCCCCCCAGCAAGCTGGGTACTCATTTTACCAACCTCGGAAGGATGGAAGGCTGAGTCAACCTTGAGCCGGCTACCTGGGATTTGAACCCCAGGTCGTGAGCACAGTTTTAGCTGCAATACAGCGTTTTAACCACTGCGCCATGAGGCTCTTCCCTACATGTGTATCAAATGGTGGCCTCATTGAATGGGCTGTATTCCCCGGAACTGGAAACAATTTCTTTTAAGAAAAGGATCAACTTCAGATGGAGAAAAGGTATTTGTAGATGGGCACTTACTCTTAGGAAGCCATCTGTACAGAATGAGGTTACAGCAGAGTTCCTTGCTGTCATCATGCTATATTGACTGACAGCTGCCCATGGAGTTCTTGTTCCCATGAGAGTTTTCAACTCAGCTTTTGCAGTAAACCTAGAGGCTTTATTAGCTTCATAGGGGGGCTGTTAATTAACACTGACATTTTAGCCCCTCACTCTCAACCTGGCCAAAATGCCTCAGTACAGGAATGGTGGGAGAGATAATGATCCTTCATCAAAAGAACTTTTCTCCTTCTGAAAGAGAAAGGTTAAAAAGAATCCAAGTAATTACAGGTTACAGATTAAGAGTAATAACCTACCAAGAGGTCTGTTAGAGAGGTCTTAATGTATTATAGGCTTGCTCAGAAATAGATTAGACCTTTGTGAAAATATTTATTTGTAGCAATCAGTAATCGGTTAGGGACAAATTTGAGTCTGCTGGATGTGGCTGTCAGATATGCTAAGGATAGGAGTCAGCAGCTATAGAGAAAATTACCAGTTTTATGTGAACAAAGTAGCAATTTAATGTGCACTTAACCTGGAAAATAATGTTGCCTAAATTCAGTAGATGTTATAGCTAGGGAAGGAGGAATTAAAGAGAAGCAAGAATCCAATGAGATGTTTTTAATGATAACATGGCCTTCCTTTAACTTTATCTTCATAATAAATTGTCATAATTTAGTAACATAGAACTAGAGTTACAGAAAGGGAGTTTTATTTTCTCCCTGTGTCTCTCTTGCTGGGAGAAAATAATTAAAATGTCATTTTAAAATCAAAGACGAATGTGTCTTGTCTCCCTCCCACCATAAATGGGTTCCTATTATGCCTTTGAAAAGCATACATGTGGTTTTTTGTGAGAATTATGGCTTAAGTGACAGTATACAACAGACTCAAGGAAAGTTACTTTTCTGGACTCCCAGCCTCACTAGGCATTTCTGGGAAATGGACTTTTTGTTCTTTCAAGGATTGGTTCTCAGCTGCACAGTTTGGAGCAGCTGCCAACTAGATGGAACGTCAACACATGACAATTGGAATCAAAATCCACATTCAGACAAAAGACACCACAGTGGCCCTATCATTTGACAGGATGAGGAAGCCACCTTGAGCAGCTGCTTAAAGGGCAGCAAACTGAGAGTAATATTAATTTTTGCTTCCAGGAGAAGCAGAGATATTTTGAGATTTTTCTCCCTGAAATGCAAAAAAAGAACTTGTTTGGTCTTGGATATGATGCATCAGGAGCAACATGTCTTGGATTGGCCCTGCTTTCAACAAAACAGTGGGGACCCCAAAGCAAAAAATGTATGGAACGCTCTTCTGCAGGGTGGTAATGGTGTCCTTTTGTGGAACTGGTAGGTATTCTCTGCTTCGGTTTTTGGGCACTGGTGAGTTCTGTCCCATAGAACAAAAATGATCTGGAATAAGCATCATTTCCATATGTTTGATGGAATGTTACTGAACACAGTTCAGCTGCTCAGAAACTCAAGAGAGAGCAGGAAAGGTTGAAAATATTGTACACGTTATGTTACACATGTGTGAACAGGTGGGCTACAGAGTTTTTAACACTGATTTGAACAAGTCAGTAGGGCTTTTGTGGCATGACATTGGGAGCAAGCACTTGAGTTGTTTAGGAGCTTAAAAAGCAAATTAAATAGAACGCAGAAGTTCATAAAATGTCAGGGGCAAAGGGACAATGAATACCAGAGCGTGGAGAAGAACTGTTCCATTTACAGCACTTAATGATGGTAGGGTTCCTGGGATTCTGCTTACTGCTTTGGCATGTGAACCTCAAGGCAAACAGCGTAGCTGCTTTGTCCATAGCATGATGGACTTTGACATTTCGAAGCAGGAAATGGGATTCTCTTGTAGATGTTGTTGAAGTGCGTATAAGCTGCCTGTGAATGGCTGGTTTGTTTATTTATTTATTTATTTTACTGTACTTATATGCCTCCTTTCTTCCTGTAAGGGACACAAGGCGATCCCTACACTGCTTCATACCCTCAAATACTCTTTTTTTTTTTTTCAAAACTGGAAATGCATATTCAGCCATTTCTGATTTTATTTTTTGTGATTTTGGTGTTTTTGGTGGTCTGTGTTATCTCCAGAAGGTTCTGGGGACAGAAAACTGTCCCTGGTCCCCAAATCCACTAAAAGTTTACTACATAAGTAAGTATACAGCGTGCTTTTCATGCAAGCTTAAACCCTAACACCCTCTCTTTACAAATTTTCAAATTTAAGGCCACTCGCATTTCCTTTGCTGACATGATATGCTGGTGAACCTAGTCTTTTCTGCAAAAATGAAATGTTTCTTGAGAGCATGCAGGCAAACATAAGTCAGTATGAGATATGAACAGTGTTGTAGGTAGGACTGAAATGGTACTGAAATCCAGGGCAGTGCAACTTGTAGGGTGCAAATGACCACCCAGAGAATGTGAGTTAATGAGAGAGCAATGCCAGATAAATAAAGCATCAGCCATTGGGCCAACAGTGCATTTATTGTTTGGGCCTGCCAGAGTTGCCTCAAAATCCTTTCTTATTTTGTAAATTACTTTACATTTGGAATGGCCAACAGAGAATACACCTGGTTCCAAATACTTGTTCTGTCTATTTCACTTTGGAAACGGATCCCATTCTGTAACAAAATTGTAATTGTTATTGTAAGCCGCCCAGAGACCTCTGGGTAGTTTGGGCGGCATATAAATTGAATAAATAAATAAATAAATAAATAAAATCTTTCTGATTCCCAATAATTCATTATGCAGAGCAACAGAAAAACATTCCATGATAATGGCACGGTTTAAGTCAGTTTAAAATGCAAAGCTATACATGGTTTTGAAACCAAGCTTTCCTTTGTTTTCACTCGGGGATGTGGAAGTAGTGTAGAGAATGGAATAGCACTGGGGACAGAAGAGAAAAAAACGTTAATTATGTTTTCCCAGCCAAGGTAAATACACATGGCAGTCAAAAATGATGGGGGTGGATTGTAAAATCATTATGCCCAGAATCTAAAGTGGCCTAGCTGCAGTGCTGGACATAAGTGGGTGGTAAACTGTAGACTGTTAGAATCCATTTTATACCTGCCTAGAATACAAATGGCCAGGAGAAAGTATGATGTGATAGCAACCTCTCGCATGAATTCAGTGCAAATGGTCTTTGGAAGTTTAATCTTGACCACCACCCCGTCTTCTGTCTTTCATCCTACCTATCTTCAGGGTTCTGCTGAGTCCTACACGAGTCGTCCATCTGACTCTGATGTATCCCTGGAGGAAGACCGTGAGGCCCTGCGCAAGGAAGCAGAACGTCAGGCCCTGGCACAGCTGGAAAAAGCCAAGGTAAAGGCAATTGTCCTAGAATGATCTTCCCTAATTGACTTGGGCTTATGGGATTTGTAGTCCAATGTTTCTATAAGACATCAGGTAGGCAAAGGCTGTTCTAGTGACTTGAGGTGATTTTGGAAGATGTTACTGTAAAACCAGGTAGTTATTGGGCTTCAAACTCGCAACTGAAATCCTTTGAGGGAGTCCAGTTTGTGGAGTGTAGGGAAAACAGATGTTTCCGTCTTGCTCATATTGTGTAGTATCTGAAGGAGAGGAAAGTTGGTGGTATCTCCTACTTTGGGCAAACAACAATTCCTTCTTCAACTTCAAGCAAAATGCTTCCCTGACATCTGTTGGCTAAACCCAGACAATAATTTTGGATTGGTGGTCTTCTGAATTTGCAACTCATTCCCTTCATGTCTGCAAAGGATCTTTTTCCACTTACATATCATTTGGCTTTATTCATGTCCTCTTGCCTCTCTGGAGAGAAGAGTTAAAATGAAGAAGGAAACCAAATATTAATTTTCCCTTAAAAGAATGGGTTTGTTACTTTTGAAATCCTTGTTGCTATGAAATTGGCCAGAGAGAGAATGACTGTTCCCTTTCTTGAAAATAGAACAGACGAAAATTCTGATCTCTCTCTCCCTCTTTCTCTCTCTCACTCTCCATGCATCTTTTCTGAACAGAATATTTCTTCAGAACTAATGTGGGCAGCATGGCACTGCCTGTAAAGACTGACCACACTTAAGGTTATGATTCATGTCCAGGAAAGATCCTTGTATCAAATTTACAGTTACTTATTAGACAGTTGCATGCCAGGAACCACAGAACAGCCAACGAGTTATTACAGCTATCTGCTAATCTTGCTGAAGTCCAGTGAGCATGGTGAGAAGAATTTATCTGTGGCTCACTACAGCTTTTGTACAGGGATGTCTCCTTTTTTAAAAAAAGCCATTCATAATTGTGATCTTTTATGGATTCCCTGATTCTGTGAATTGAAACAGCTTCAGAACATTCTAGAACCCTGAGCTGATATTGGAGCCTCGTCCAGTCAGGAAGACTGGCAGCAGTTTGTACATAATTTGGTTACAGCAACAGCTTTTGGCGTCTTTTGACCACCAGGACCTTTTCACTTGTAATTTAAACAGGTATCACTTTTCAGCATGGGGTGTCTCTGTATGTCGTTTCTCCTATTAGCCACCCGTACACCAATGGCTCAGCAGGCTTCCTGATGACCTGGACTAGGCTTTTTAGGGAAGGCTCTGATTGCAGGTGACTACCACCAGTGTTCAATTTGTTTTAGTGAGTTTCACAAAGTGAATGCTAGTTTAAGTCACCAAACAAGCTTGTTCCTGCCAGTTCCTACAATATCTAGAAAAGGGCAAACCAGCTTATGGAAGCTCTAGTGGTGTTAAATGACTGAATCTTCTGTTCAATATTCACACCTGCATGTGCATATGTGCACACATACCATCCTCTGTGACTGCCAGAGCTACAGTTTGAGGCCCTGGTCATATGCGGGAAATGTTTTCTAGTTCTTCTGATACTTTCCACACCTCTGTTGTACTGAATCGTGGTCATGTGGTCTATGTCCCAGAATGAACATCCCAAGAACTTTTAGTGATACCAGTTCATTTCCTCCTCTTTGAATCGTTATGGCCAGCTACACTGTGGCACCAGTTTATTTTCTCTCTTGCTTCAGTGGAGAATTTAGCCCCTTGATTTATCTATATTTAAAATAATATTTATCGATACATTTGTATATCAGGAACAAGGTTCCCTTTAAGGTGTGTGACTGTGCGAGCATGCGTGACTCTGCCCCTCTCCTTGCAGCTTTCCTCCTCCCCTATGCACACACAGTGATTGTTTCCACCCTCTTTCATTCCGGTTGCAATGGAACCCTGTGGGGGGGGGGGAAGACCTGTGCATGTGGGGGTGGAGCCCTGCCCAGCGGAGTTGAAAATCAGAGAGAATGTTGATCAGGAAGGAATTTTGGCTTAAGAAAGTGCCCCTCTATTGCACTGGCTGCTCCTGCAGAAATGCATTGCACACAATGGTCATGGAATATCCGCGTGGCAGTACAGGTGGTCACCCCCCCCCCTGAGACATTAGCATGCCAACAGTTCAATGTATCTTCCTATAGAAATAAAAATATATTATTATGCACCAGTTATGTAATGGTGGCAGGCCCCGATGACATACTTTTATCAACATATCCAAGTATCAGGCATTAAAATGTTTTTTAAAATTAATATGTATGTCGTAGTTATGGCGACCACCTTCCTGGCTTTGATTCTGAAAAGAAGCAAGCCAGGTCATGCGCACAGGCAGTCGTGGTAAGGAATGTGACTGTACAACAAAGGTATAAAATAACACAACCCTCCTGGCAATGGGGAAATGTTCCACAGTTACACCGCTAGCCAGAAAAATGTCTCAATCCTGACTGTGTGTCTTGTGACCAGGGGGGAGAAGGCAACAAACTAACTGGGAGATAACTAGAGGACATTTCCCTCATGCGACCGAGGCTTGACTTTAGATCTTCCAGATTCTGCTTCCAAATTGTGTCTGTAATTTTGAAATCAGCGACTGCTAACCTCTGGGATCTGAGTTATTGATGTCATCTGAGACAATGCCCTCAAATGGGCTTGATCTTCCCTACATGCCTGTAACGATGATGTTTAACTCTTATCTGTCCACTCAACTTTCCAGCCTTCCACAAAACCAGCTATAACAAACCACAGCTGATACACTCTCTCAGCACCATCCGTGCCAGTAACATAACCAAGCCCAGTTTTCTCATGTTTGATAATATCACCAGCATCACTGATCCTGATACTAGCACTAGTGGCAGCATTATTGTTCAGTTTTCAAGCTACGGACTGTGTTAATTGCATCACATCCAGAATGGTCAGGAATGATGGGATTTGTAGTCCATTGGAAGGCACCTAGTCAGATGAAGGTGCAGTTTGTTAGAGATGGCATTAGTCGAAGAGTGTATATATATATATATGAATTAAAATTAAAAGTGTGACAGAGATTGCACAGAGGAAGCTGGAGCTGTAGTACTTATTATGTCTTACCTTTCTCTTATGAGGGCTAAAGCTGAGGCAGGGCGCAGGGAAACTTAATTCTTATCAGTGGACTTCTCTCTTTTTTTGGTATCCCATATGCATAATAGCAATAATTATGTGCCGTCAAGTCAATTTTGACTCATGGTGGCCCTTTTCAGGGTTTTTCAGGTTGAGGCACAATGGGGAATTGAACTTCCAACCTCTGGCAGGTAACTTAACCACCAGGCATGGAGAATTTAAGATGAAAATTGACTGGGCAGGAGTCTGAGCGTCTTGTATCTCTGGGTGAACCTAATCTGTGGATTGGGTTATCCGTATGCTTATTTGCAAGTGAACAAGATGATAATTTGAAGTTGCATGCCAAGAATGTAATAGACTTTGTAGTGTTGCCCTAGGACAGCCCCATCCACAGTCCATGTATTCACACAGTGCACCTTTGATGCAGCATCCAAATGGGTACTGCTTAGTTAGAGTATCTCAGTCTTTAGTCTTATGGTATCTTAAATATGAAAAAGTTTTATTTGGCACAAGCTTTTGTTTTCCTTTTTCAGAAGGATAAAGGGCAAGCCACAAAATTCTGGTGATCCAGTTTCCCTACGAGTCTTTCTCTCGTGTTGTCTACATTCAAATTAGATAGCAGGGCATATTAAGGCCATATTTCCTCCTTTTATAATTTTATCCCTGTAGGCCCACAGATCTTTCAGTGTTGCATGCCTGACACATCAGACATGCAAACAAAACCATGCTGATTCCTGATGGACCAGTCATAAAATAAAAGCGAGATATGTTGCCAAATGTGGATGGAAGCAAATGACTGTTGGAATAAACAGGAAGAGTTTTCCTTTCAGGGGTCCATGATTCTAGGTATGGAATCAGTACAGTGGACCCTTGACTTACAGATGGCTTGACTTACAGACTTTTTGAGTTACAGACTTCACTGGCTGCAAACTTTAGGTTTGACTTGCAGACTGAGATTTGACTTACAGACCAGAAAAAATCCAAAATGGAACAAAAACGGCCTGTTATGGGATTAATCGGTTTTCAATGCACTGTAGGTCAATGGAGACTTGACTTACAGACTTTTTGACTTGAGAACCGCCTTCCAATACGGATTCTTGCCCACAATAGTAGATATGATAGTCGTCTGAATTGAATGCGCTTATTCCCATCCATTTTAGTTCACTGATGCCCAGGATGTCAATGTTTATTCTTGTCATCTCCTGTTTGCTCACATCCAGTTTACCAAGGTTTATAGATCTTACATTCCAGGTTCCTATGTCTTATTTTTCTTTGCAGCATCAGACTTTCCTTTCACTTCCAGGCGCATCCGCAGCTGAGTGTCCTTTCGGCTTTGACTCAACCACTTCATTAGCTCTGGAGCTACTTGTCCTTGTCCTATGCTCTTCCTCAGCATGTTGGATGCCTTTTGACCTGAGGGTCCCATCTTGCCAGTTCCTGCTCCAGGTGGATTGCATTTAGTCAGAACTCTCCACTCTGACCTGTTCATCTTGGGTGTCCCTGCATGGCATAGGCCATAGCTTCTCTGAATTACTCGAGCCCCTGTGCCACGACAAGGCAGCAATCCATGAAGGAGTTCAGCCAACTTAGCACTTAGTAAATACTAATTTCAGTTCCAGATGTACACTTTAGCATTGTGCCATATTTAATAGAATACACACCCTTGCTCTCCTGATGCATTAGGTGCACCTCACATTGCAGCAGACCATCATCCATAGTGGCTAGGGCAGATGGGCGTTGCAGTCCAAAATATACAGAGGATACGAACTACCATTGACCAGTGGTCCTAGTGGAGTGAGGTTCAGCAAATCATTGCAAGATGAGGGCTCTTACTTCTTATACTGCAGGTTGCCTCCAATGGCAAGGTGAGAAAGACCGTGAAGTATCATTCCTCAGGATTCACATCTCCTGTTGCTGGAATCAAGG